CTGGCTTTGCTGTGGCTGGGGGCAGAGGGACAGCTGGGACAGCAACTGCTTTAGCAATCCAACTTTAATCTGCCTGTGTCCGTGAGTCAGCACCCTCTGAGTGCATCTGTCTCTGGCACTGAGGCAGGACATGCATGCCGGACGACTGGGAGGGGGAAAACAGCAGGCTCAAGTGAGCTGTTAAGCAATTGCTAATGACACAAAGTGACACAGCTCCAGCTTTGCATGGATTGAGTAAGGAGTCATAAGATGAGGAGAGATGTTCATTTAAACATAGCTCGTTCAGTGATCCCCCAGCTGCATTGGCTTATCAGGAACCCCAGGAATCTGAGCACCACATGTTCCTGGGTCAGCCCAAGGAGGAGAAATGCATCCCAGCATTGCCTTTTCCTTGCAATTAATGCATTTGCCTGATGCGAGTGCTGTAAAGAATTGCAGCCCTTTCTTGAAGGCATGCTTTGTGCTGGCTGAGTGGCAGAGCTTTGTGGCAGATACTCCTGCGCTTTGGATTTGCCCGCACTGCATGCCAGGTGCAGAGTGAAATGCTTGGGTACCCCTCCTCTGGCCCAGGCAGGGCAGAGCAAAGTCCCCTTGGGGACTTGGGCGTTGATGCTTCTCACTTGCAAGGGAGTCGAGTTGGTGCTTCCCTGCTCCCGACTTTTTTACCAGTGACAAACTTACCCTGTGACACCCCACCTGTGCCACAGTTAGTTAGCTTTCTGGATCCAAAAAGCATCTGGGAGGGTAATTTGGGTTTTTTTAGGCCCACATTGGTTAAACTTGGAAATATATGTAAAATAAATACATAGTAATTTTTCTATTGCTCCAGTTTGGAAGGAAAAATTCCCTTACTGAACTCAGGATTCAGAAGTGTTTGCTGGCTCTTTCATTACGTTTGCGTGTAGCTACTCGTATTGGTTGCGTGCATCTGTACCAGCCAGAGCTTCACCTGTGATCCAGTAGATTAATTTGGTTTACCTGCGCGAGGTAGTAAGAGAGGAAGACCGTGATAGAGCGAGCCGTGCTGGGAGGATGGAGGTGGAGGATTAAAATGACCATGACTTAAGTAAATCACCCTGCAGTGATAGCTGTAAATGCTCCTTGTATTGTGAACATCCCTCTCTGTGTCAACCTGGTGGAAATGTAAAAGGATTTGAGGTTCTTTCACTTGCTGCTTCTTATCTGAATGCATTTACATCCGCTGTACCCTCCACAGGGCTCTTGTCCCTCAGCAGCACCTGGCTAAATACCACCTGTAAAACTGGCTGGGGCCAGCCAAAACACCGTTCAGTGAAACCCCTACCCCCCTCCCAGCCCTTCAGCTCCTGTTTGGTTTATGGTAATTGAATATGCGAGGCTTTGTCCTTCCAAGTCTGACTGCTTTGCCCTCCTTTAAGTGAGATTCGGGGGAAGCAAACTGTCTCATTGGTATGGGTGGAGCTCTGCCACACGTTGCATCGATTCATAGATTTTTAAAGCCAGAAGGGACGGTTATGTTCCTCTCTCCTGACCTCCCGCATAACACAGCCCATTAAACGCCACCCCACCAGCACGGTGACTTGCAGTTGAATTAGAGCACCTCTGGTAGGAAGACGCCCGGCCTTGATTTAAAGGCTCGGAGTGACAGATAGATCCACCCCAGGCCTCGAGAAGTTTGTCGCAGGGGTTAATTCCCCTCCCGTGGGGAGTTTCTTGCTTCACTTTCACATCATTAAATCTGGTTTTACCTTTGCGATAGATGAAAGATGCCTCTCCTGCCCCTTTGTGTTCTCTGGAGGGGAGAGATGATGGAGAAGTTAAATTCTCCAAGGGCACATCAGGAAACATGGGTCCAAGCCCCTGATCCGACCAGGAGCGCTGGGCGTGGGGACTCGTGTCCTCCTCCGGCTGCGGCCGCATCCCCCCGCTGCAGCTCTGATGGAGAATGTCTCTCCTTGCCCTCGGAGAATGATTGCCAAAGCCTCATGCAACCTTCTCCCATTTTTCCCTCTACCAATACTGCTTCTTGTATGTTAATGACTATTTTCTCTGTCGAAAATAAAACTGATCACCAGACTTTTTTTATTGTGTACTGGGATGAGATCAGCCCACTCAACTCGCCCCCTGCCCCGCAGGGCTCGCTCTTCTGCAAAAGCAAAAGGTGGCGGCTGTTGCGTTCCCCGGGCCGGCTGGGTCCACACAAGCTCTTTCTTTTATGTTCCCTTTTTGAATTTCACCAAAAAGGGGTATTTGCAATATCTGGTCATATTGTTACTCGGTGTATAATTTAGATGTCTTTGTCAAAAAAAAGAAATAAATTAAAATTTAGTAGAAAGACAACTCGTGTTTGGGGGTGATCCTTTTTCTTCGACAGGCTCGTTTTTCCAGCGGTCATTTGAGGACTGTGCCTTCCCAAGGCGCCGCCTGCGAAGCTGCTCTTCCACCACTCCCCTCTGTCTCCCCATCAGAGACGGTCGCCGGTACTGGAAGTGGTCAAAACTGTTGCAAGAAGTCTTTTCCCATTGGATTTTCACTTGTCCAAAACTATCAGAAGAGCCAGCCAGTGAGAAAGGCAGACTTTGGGAGGATCTTCTTGTTTCTAGAATCATTTTGTAGGTTAAAAAAAAGCGTGTCGTAAAACATGTTCCCCACTGACCTGGCAGGAAAAGGGAAGAGGAAAAAGAAAAGCAGCGAGTTATTTGGGTTTGGTTCAGTGAAGCAGGGTTTGGAGGGGGTTTTGAGGGGGAAGCGAATTCTGGGGTTGTTTCTTTCCAACTAATTTGACGCATTACTGTTCCTGCAACACCGGGATGGGCCAAAAAGTGAGAAACTGTTAGAGCTCTTTAAAGCATCAGCTCCTTCCCTGCACGGCCAGGATGCCTGGAAGGCAGTCCGAGCCACTGGAAAAAAACATTATAGATGGTCACACTTAATTTCTTTTTTCTTTTTTTTTTTAAGGCACGCTTTATACTGAGTCCTGGTATTTTTTCAGCAAAGTAGGAAATACTTTTTCATCTTGTTTGCCTAATGGATTGGATGTGAAAAATATTTCTCTGGCAAGTGAACACCCTGAGAGTTGTTTGACTTGTCACGATGTTATGTATCGGCCCCTGCGGCCCCCTGCCCCTGAAGCCGCCGCGCTTCCCCTCTCCTGTTGCTGTTTACGGTGGGACATGCCGTAATTTATGGCGAGGCTGCGTGTGACCTTGCATGCGTCTGCTCGCGCGAACCGCAGCTCCCTTCCCCGCACAAGCCCCGCTTTACATTCACATGATGAATTTAGTGCTCCCAAAAGGACAAGGAACCGAGTGGATTGGATGTGGGGAGAGGAAAGAAAGAAAATAGTAATAATCCACAGCCTGAGGAGAAATAAACACTGAGATTTTTGTTCCTCTTTGACCAGTATTTCCCTGTTGTTTACAGCCTTGCACCCCCCAGACGACTGCCTTTATCAGA